TGACATAGGAGCAACATGCCTCAGAAGCTGAGGAGCAGACTTATAGACTTAGCTTCCTGAGTTTACATGTTTACTTACAGCCATGCCCAAAGACACTTATGAAAAGTAAAGTGGCTTATATTGTCACATGCGCATACAAAGCTGGCTCAAGTCAGCACTAAGGCTTATGCCAATTCTTTCGTGGCACGGGCGTCCCCTCTCCCTCTAAACACTGCCTCCACCCTATCCCACGTTGGAGTAGAAAACTGGTTTAAGTCAATGCCCATCCGGGATCCACGCCAAAAGCGTTTTACTCCGCTTAAAGACCTAATTTAGTCCTATGTCACAAAGCCTAAGCTCAACCACAGCCTTAGCCCTAACCCTAATTCCCCCTACAATTTAGCGAAAACCCGCGTTTATTATGGACTAGTCCTGATCCCACGTCGTGTCAGGAGGTGGCCATATACGCCAATCGCGCCCATTTCTACGACAAGGTTTTTAGGGCTTGGTCGAAGTAGTCCTGTTTTTGAAGCAGTCTGCCAGTGAGTGAGTGCACTGATTTATAGGAGAGCAAACGCTTAGCAGTGAGGAACGCAGTTCATACCGAAACACACACGTGATGGGCTCCACAGGAACCGTGCAGTAACGCAAAGTCAACTTAAAACACATATCTTGACAATCAGTAAGCACTCCTCTTGCTAGTATGAGCAATAGTGTTCCAAGCTAGAAGAATAACATTCCTGTCATAGGTAGCAGTTTTACTGTGTTCCCCTTCGAGAAACCCCTAACTATATAAAGACAGTCAAGTAAAGGGATATTTCAATAACTTTACTGAGAGGCAATCAGTTATGTCACCCTTAGGAGGCATCTTACCTTGGAAAAACTGAGATCATGGATGACTCGTGGAGGATGACGTCAAGTCAGTCACTATAAGGACCAGAACGCTAAAACTAACCTTTTTCGTAACTGTTTGAATGCCTTAACTACTCCCCAGCTGATTCTGCAGTTACGACTAAAATACGGGAGTTCATTTGCAGATTACGAACAAACCCGTTATCCGTTCCGTTTTCTATAACAGGTGCTGAGGTCTCCTCGGTGGAGGCTGTCGGATTCGACTTAAACGAGATTGTGCTTTACATCTTTTGGTTTAACCGAATTTAACACCCCGTCCCCACTAAGTTGAGTATCACTATTAGGCTTAAAGTTTGACTTCAGTTTAGTGTTTGCAATGGGACTAGGTGTTAGAGGTAGGATCAAAAGTTGTGATCAGGGCCAGTATTGGATTCGCCTTCCTTGGTATGTGGTTGGCGGCCGGGATCGACGCTGGTAGGCAAGAATCCTTGATAATCATC